AGGAAAAATCTTTTTAAATTTAATAATATTATATAATAAGTATATTATAAAAGTTACTAAAAATAGATAGTCTATAAGAGCTCATAGCCTAGATATAAGAGCTGTGAGCGACTGTGGGCTCCCTGGGCTCCCTGGGCATATAAGAATGCTGTGAGTCGCGGGAAAAATTGCTGATGTAGCTCTAGTAAGATTAAACAGAACTAGATATCGCGATTTATTTAACGGCATCCTAATCTACGTTCCAAGATAAATAAAAAGATCTATTTAAAGCGCGTTAATTACACAACTCTAGAGATATTAGAGACTTAGTTTAAAGACTTACGGCTAGTTAAGGAGCGATATTCGATTCTACTAACGAATATCTATAATATAAACGAAACTAGTCTCGCTCTAGGCGTTTATAATAATTAATGAGTTATTAGAACTATATTAATAAAGACTAGCTGAAAAAAAAGTCTCTTAAATTACGTTAGTAAGTGACGATCGTCGAAATAATCTCTACTCTCGGTCGCCGTTTATAAGCGTTAGTTATCTTTAAAGACGTTAATCTTTAGACTACCTAGTTCAATTACTCTAGCACTAAATAATACAAAGAAACGATTCTAGATTATTAATATATAACGTCGCTAAACGGCTAGACGTTAAATAAAATTAGATTAACTTAGCTAAATTAGATTTTTTTTATCTTAGATAAAGCTAAACGACGACGCCTATCGACTATTAATCATTAACGACTATAAAAGTTATATTACGTATAAATTTATATATAAATACTTTTAAAATAAAGTCGTCGTCTTCTATTTAATACTATATAGTAGTTATATTCTTTAGTCTCTTAATCTTATCTATTTTTCGTCTCTTAAATATCGTTATCGAGAATAGATAGCTAATTTAGCTGGATTCGACGACGCAGCGCCTATAAAGAAGATAATATTTCTAAAGATTTATCGAATGGCTAATTAGGAAAGTCTTATAGTTAATAATATTAAGACTAGCTAGAAAGTCTCTAGTATTTATCCGTAATATCCTCGAAAAGTAATTCGATCTAGCCTAGTTATTTACGATAATTAAAAGGCTCAGAATACACCTTAAATATCGCCTTCTCGTAAACGACGAGCGTTCGTTAATGAGATTCATCAAACACTAAGAACTAGATTTATTTATAATAATTCTATTCGATTAATTATACGGTAGAAATTAATCTCTTAATCTACTCGTTATTTTATAATTAAGATAGATAAAGTTCTAGAAGAATATAAGTAGTAGTATAGATAGAAGAATAGTTAAATAGCTAGTCTACGGAATGAGATTCATCTCCTAAAGACTAAAGGATAAAAAGGAAAGCTAATCGAGCTCAACGAGGCCTTTACTATCATCGAGACTATACACGAGGCTCTAGAGGTAGAGGCGGCGACGAGGCCTGCGGCGAGGCCAGCGAGGCTTACCCAGAGTGCTAGCATCGTAACCGACCTCGCTGCCGCCGATCCAATGGCGGCGTTTATGACAGTGTTCTCTGTAAATGAGAGTGCTAGTTCAGTATACAGAGTGGTGCGTTACTAGGTTGGTGCGTTACTAGGTTGGTGCGTTACTAGGTTGGTGCGTTACTTGATGGGCAGACTTATCATACTCGATTCCAACGCAGATATCTAACGCTTTGTAGCAGGACAGTCCCAGCGATTGCTCTGCACGTGGCCTTTATCTCGCTAGGTGGTAGCCCAGGTGGTTCCAGCGTCGTTTTGTCATGAATGTCGTACACTTCCAAGGATCTATCGCACGCTTTGGCTTATGCAGAAGCAAAATGCAGTAGCAAAATGCAGTATTTGATTCCTTTTGACCCAGAAGTTCATTCTCCCTGATCCATCCCTCCAGGAGCCGGTTGTCTCCCCATCTGCCTTGCCTTCAGTAATTCATCACACAACAGCAAATTACTCGCAATTCCCTGGCTACTCGCAATACTGTTTCTCAACACGCGAAACCCGTCAAACACACCTTCTTGCACAGGATCCATTGGTTCTCCAGTCACAAGGTCCAATCCCACCACGTTCCCTTCGGTAAATTCATCTTGCAGAGCGGCGAGTGCATCTTGGATGTCATGTCCGGAATTTGCGGCAAGTGTTTTCGGTATGATCAAGAGTGCGTCTGCAAAGGCAGCGACACCCCATTTTGCTTTGCCCTTGACGGTTTTGCGCACTGGTTCTGATGAAAGGTGTGCCGCAGCAGCGATTTGAAACGATCCAGCTCCGGGAACGACGCAACCGTCCACAATAGTGTTGTACACACTCCGTAGACCATCTCGTACCGCATCTGTGATCTGGGTGATGCTGTGCTGATTGGGGCCTTTAATTAGAAGTGTGACAGATTTTGGGTCTTTCACTTCCTCCACAAAGGTGTATTTCTCCTCCCCTAGGGTTTGCTCGCAAACAAGTCCTGCCCATCCAAGCACCGAAGGGTCGAGATCATCTACACTGTTTTGCGCTTTTCCACCACAGACAAGTTGAAGACGTTCCATGTTCCGTCTTTTTGCGCGCCTCAGCGCCAAGATGCCATTCTTGACCAGCACGTCCAAACTCAGTGGATCAATGCCTTTTTGATTGATCACCACAAAGGCCTTTTTGGGATCGGAACCACAAACTTCATTCTTTAAAGCCACGATCTTCTTGAGCTTTTCATCGACAAAGCGACGCTCAGAAGCGACTAATTTGTCTCGTTGTTCGGCGCTGCTGTAATAGAACCCGGAATTGATTTCAGACTTTTCGTATTCGAGGGAAACGTTCAACGTGAGAATGAAAGCGTTTTCTACTCGTTTTGGCATGTCAGGATGTCGCGCTCCATGGTCCAACACCAATCCTCGAATTAAGGTGGTGTCAGAACTAAGTTTGTGTTGCAATTTCATGATTTCGATCATATGTAGGTCGGGTTTTTGCGGAGGCCGGTGAATGGCTAATACAGCGTCAACTATGGAAGGCGTCAACTGTGCAGCAAGAGCGGCATTAATCTTTGTGGAGAGAGAGGTTTTGGCGATCGAGAGGAGCAGATCGCGGTCGACTTCACGGCTGATTTTGAATGTGTCGAGAAATTTAAGAGTCTCAGTTTTGGCAATCTCAAAGCCATCCGTGATAACCCTTGGATGCAAACCTTCCTGGATATATCTGTCTGCTTGCTTCAGAAGCTCTCCAATCAACAACACTACAGATGTCGTGCCGTCGCCAGTGATGTCGTCCTGCGCCGTTGCGGCTCGAGCAATCAGAGTGGCGGTGGGGTTTTGTATTGACATCTCTTTCAGCAAGACCGCTCCGTCTTTTGTGAGTTTTATTTGACCCGACCCGTCGACCAGCATCTTAATTGTGCCCGAAGGGCCCAGGTTCGACTTGAGAACATCTTGGAGGCCTTCTCCCGCGTTGATATTGATTCGAAGTGCCTCTGCTCTGCGACGGGATTCGGCTTTGGGGTTCAAAAGCTGCGTTGCTATGCACGGTCAGATAATAAGTTGCGAAAACAATAAGTTCACTTACCAGACATCTTTTCGTGGTTCAGATCATGATGGAAACACGAGACTCGAAAGATTCAACTTTGACGGCGGGCAGACGTACAATTTCATGCCAAGACAGACCCAAGACAGACCTAGCTCTGGTAATGGAGTACTTGTGCCAAGGCCAAGACGGGGGAATCGGAGAACTTTCAGCTTTGCACTTGTAAAGCTGCGGAATTCTCTTTTTGAGCAAGTCCAAAATTTCGTGGCTCTCTCACGGTCACCATATTGTTTTGATAATTGGCATTATTTATGGCCAGAACTTTTGTCTGCAAGGCCGTGCGAATCCAACTGTTGATTTAAATTCTCCCGGGCTTCATTTCATACTAGAGTCGAGAATACCCTTCTAGCTATAACTCATCCTTTCTCCCCTCGGCACGACCACGACGAGATTGTGCCATGGCCGATTTTCTCTTGCATGAAGGCCCTATGGGCTATTCCATCTTCAAGGTCGTCCACCAGGCTGACACTGTCGGCCACCGTCTGAAAGAAGTTCAAGATGGCGTTCAAGACCTTGCGCGATTCGGCAAGATGGTCGACCTCCTGAGCTTTCTGCCATTCGAGTACGGCTCGCACCTCCCCTCGATTCCAGTCTATGGCTAACTATACATAAGGAGCGGGAAGCAGGCACTATCGGAACTGAACGATATTTCCGAAGGCATCGCATCTGACTTTCTCAAATCCTTCCTCGAACTCAACCTGCCAAAAGCTGGGAAGAAGAACAAAATTATCTTGGGCGTTTCAGACAAGATCCTTGCGGCTAGCATCAAAACAGCATTTCCAAATATCGAGTGCGAGACTGGAGACACAAGCGAGGTCGTTCAGGACATGCTCCGAGGAATCAGACTACACTCCGAGAAGTTGCTCAAACAGCTCCGCGAGGGGGACACTAACACTGCACAGCTCGGTCTGGGTCATGCATACTCCAGAGCCAAGGTCAAGTTCTCTGTGCAAAAAAACGACAATCATATTATCCAAGCTATTGCAATACTCGACCAATTAGATAAAGCCATCAACACATTCTCCATGCGCGTTCGCGAATGGTACTCCTGGCAATTCCCAGAGCTCGTTAAGATCGTCTCAGACAACCACAAGTATGCCAAGGTTGCGCTGTTTGTGAAAGATAAGAAAACTTTGTCTGATGAAAGACTCCACGACCTCGCAGCCGTGGTAGATGATGACGAGGAAGTCGCAAAGAGCATTATCGACGCCGCAAAAACAAGTATGGGTCAAGAGATTTCCGTTTCAGACATGGAGAATGTGACGTTGTTCGCGGAACGAGTGGTCAGCCTTGCGAACTACCGGAAGACGCTGCACACCTACCTTGTCTCTAAGATGGGTGTGGTTGCCCCCAACTTGGCTGCCCTTATTGGGGAAATTGTGGGAGCTCGATTGATTTCTCATGCTGGCAGTTTAACGAACCTATCTAAGTACCCCGCCTCTACCGTTCAGATTCTAGGAGCGGAGAAGGCCTTGTTCAGGGCGTTAAAGACCAAAGGCAACACGCCCAAGTATGGTCTCTTGTACCACTCATCGTTCATTGGAAGAGCTGGGCAGAAAAACAAAGGAAGAATCTCACGGTTTCTCGCCAACAAGTGTTCGATCGCCTCCAGGATCGATAACTTCTCAGAGACTCCGTCAACAATCTTTGGGCAGGCATTAAAGAAACAAGTAGAAGAACGACTAGAATTTTATTCGACGGGGGCACAGCCCACCAAGAACGAGACTGCCATGGTGTGTTTGGAGGATTTGAGGCTTTGGAATCCACGCTGACTTTGGGTACAGAAAGATGCCATGGAAAAGGTTCTTGCAGAAATGAAAGTCGACGGCCCCACCAAAACAGGCGTCTATGCAGATCTTAAAGCGGAGTCAACAGCAACCCAGAACCAGGATAAAGGAAGGAAGGATAGGAAAAAGGGGAGGAAGGATAAGGACAAGGCCGTAAACTCAGACGACGCCAGCAAGAAGGACAAGAAGGACAAGAAGCGGAAGGCAACTGAGATGGACAACGAGGGAGGCGAGAAGAAAAAGAAGAAATCAATACCCAGGGATTAGTGGAGAGTTCGGAAAGGGGTTCTTTCATGCAAGGCGTTGGCGGTCATTTTATTGCGATGTCTGCTAGGAGACATTGAGCCTTGCAAGGCACTGTATTGATTATTCAATAGAGAAGGATACCTTACCCTGTAGTATGTGTCTTATGAGGTGACAATTTGCTGATGCCGCTCCAAGGTCTTTACAGGAATCATAACCGCACGTAGATCAATGACTAGATATTAGCTAGTCCCCATAGCAGTGACAGCCGTCTTCAAACTCTTCGACATACCTTAGATTCTCTGTTGACTGTTGCTAGCAGCAATTATGGAGGCTGCTGTACCCAGGTGCTTTTTCATTAGTTTCTCAGGTACCAACGAAACTCGATTGAGGAATGGGGAGATGGTTACTTACCATCAGATTTTAATTCGCGGAAACATCTATTGGCCAGGCCCAAGGTCATTATATCAGTGGCACCTCGAACACCTACTTCACTCCCAGTTGTCGTTTTGAAATGTGATAACATCCCATGCCGTCTGATGAAGTCGTGGTAACTGGGTCTTCAAGCGTTATCACGCTTTCCCTGACGGACTGCTGGATAGGTCTGCGTAATTCTTTTGGTGCCAACCACTGTTCTACTTCCGCTGTCCTCCAAACTTGAGGCCACAATGACTTCCAACTCCCCAAAGAGAAAGCGAGGCTCCCCTCACCCTCTGGATACAGAAGGACCCATACCCCGTTTATTGAACGAAAGCGATCTGGAAGAATATGATGGAGGCAGCCCTCGAAGCAAAGTTGTGCGGAAGTTCAATGACCTTGAAATTCATGGCCATCAAGCTCACGAAGACCAAGACGCCAGCATGAAACAGAATGACCAGGTCACGATCCCTGCAACGTTATGGGCTGAAGCAACGGGCCAGGAAACCCGGTTTTCGACACCATTAAGCAAACAGAAGCCGGAAAGTGGGACGGACGTCACACGAGGACTTGCAATCGCGGCGACGAAGTCCTCAGAAACAGCTTCCCGCTCCAAATCTCCTCCTCTGGCAGGTGAGATGTCGAATGATTTTTGGCAAGATTTTGAAATTACTGGACATGATCCGGACGACTCCAGTGACGATGGATATGGCATCAACGGGATCGGGTTCAAACCGACGGCGGCAGTTGCCTGGTCAAGGTCACAACGGCGGAAACAACAACTGTCCGACTACAAGAACCGTGAGGCTCGAGAAGCGAGACAACAGAGAAGTGAGAGGAGAAAACGTCTGTTTGACGAAGGCGAGGATGCATTGTCCGTCGAGTCCTCGCCTCGCAAGGCGGCCCGTGTTCGTTTCGAAGACGGCTGAGATTGGCAAAATCAAATGGAGCGCAATTTTCTCTCCGCCCTCCCGACCACGAAACAAACATCATTGACGGCCATAAGATATGCGTATGCAGCAGTGGCAATAATCCCTTTCAGCCTCTAGTCCGTCAACGCCGGACGAAGCAAGCAAATGATCCTTAAGACAACAATAGCATTACCAGAATTTGTACCATTGCCCTCTCCGTTTCCGTTCCTGCTCTTTGATTTCTGCCGCCGCTACCCGTGCAGCATCCTCGGCAGCCTTCTCGCGGGCCTTCTTCTCATGCAGCATTCTCATGCCTTGGACAGCCATTGCCATGCCTCTTGCCTCCTCTCGCCGTCTTTGATCACACCAGTAGTACATTCCGGAGGCTGATAGAGCAAATCCAGCGACTGCCAGGTTGGTAGTGATCAACATGGAGGACAGTCCTAGCATCAAGTCAGACCCTAAAGGTTCAATTTTTCAAAGGTGGGCGGTTCAAGAACCTCTGAGTATAAATCTTAAACCTCCTACTGCGCCTCCGGAAGCTATCCCGACAAGCAACGCATCTCGTGCGCATGGTACCTGATACCAAGAAGGGCCTTTCCCTTCATACGAGAAATTGAAGGCATCTCTCCAGGTCACCTCGGGAGGTTTGCCGCCTGCGGAATTGTAGGTTCCTCCTGCCAGGGTGTTTGCAGATTCCGCAGGATTACCCAGCATCTCCCACATCTTCCCGGCCTGGGTTTTTGGGAAGTCGTGCTTGGATTTCGGTCGCCTCAAGGGACGGCCCTCTGACTGAGGTTGCTCATCTGCGGGAGGTGTGTCAGGCTGCCGCGTATCGTCCGCCATTGTGAAAGACCGTTATGGTGTGTGTATGATGATTGAGAAAAGCTGCGGAGAAAGATGGCGAGGTGGAGAAAATTAACCGGCGTCTCGCGAATACCCATTAAGCGATCTGCCCTACACACGTCGCGTCTTGCGCGTCTTAATTGAACCGCGCCTTTGCGTGTCCTTCGAGACGTCCAATTTTCGGTTATTGCGACGCGCAGATTCACAATACGCTGGAACTTTAAACTCTGGCTTCCTCAGCGTTTACAACGAGGCATTTGCTATGACTCGATCTTTTCAATACCGCATATGGCAAGGATAAGCCGACACTTCGCCTTCTCTCTCGTTCCACAATGCCTGTCCGAAAGCCTTCGCGCTATGGCTCCAATTTGAGACTAGGAAAGGATGCCTCACGCAAGCAACGAACGAAGACAATTGACGCCTCCTCATTGCGCACCACCGAAGCAACCTCTCAAGATGAAAAGGTTCAAGCAACGCGGCTGGCAAACAGCATCGACGACGCCATGGGCTTCCCTAGGTATGATTCGGGCAAGAGAAGGGTGGGTTGGCTGTACAACATGCACAGCACCTCAATTGAGGACCCACGAGTACCAGGTGGTCGCGCGGGGGTCGACTTCTACTTTATCGGGGAGGACGGCGAAAACTTCAAGGCGACGGTCGAATATGACCCATACTTCTTGTTAGCAGTGAAGCGTGGACGCGAGGCCGAAGTCGAGGAGTGGTGCAAACGGACGTTTGAAGGACTTGTCAAGTCAATCAACCGCATAACCAAAGAAGACCTCCAGATGCCGAATCACCTCCTTGGATACAAAAGAACATTCCTTCAACTCACATTTGTGAATGTCTCAGACCTGCTCGCAGTTCGCAAGGCGCTGTTGCCTATTGCAGAGAAGAACAAAGAGAAGGTCAATGCCATGGATACGTATGCAGAGGTTGCTAGTGCAGCAGCGGGCTTTGACGTGTATGACGAAGACCAAGCGACCGATGCCCGACCGAATGGAATTGCAGACGCCAGCGACTACGTTGTCGACATGCGAGAATATGACGTTCCCTACCATGTTCGTGTTACCATCGACAAGGACATCCGCATTGGAAAATGGTATGCGGTCGATGCTAAACACGGCTCAGTCTCTCTAACTTGTTTGGAGGAGCGTTTACAGCGCGCTGATCCGGTAGTCCTTGCATTTGATATTGAAACGACGAAACTGCCCCTGAAATTTCCAGATTCAGTCATTGATCAGATCATGATGATCTCGTACATGATTGATGGGCAAGGCTTCCTCATCACCAACAGAGAAATCGTTTCGGAGGACATTGCCGACTTCGACTACACCCCAAAGGCTGAATATGAAGGGCCATTTCTCATTTTCAACGAGCCAAACGAACGTGCCTGCATTGAACGGTTTTTCTCTCACATTAAGGCAGCTCGACCTACCGTGATCGCAACATATAATGGAGACTTTTTCGACTGGCCGTTTGTTGAAGCGAGAGCCGGCGTCAATGGTATCGACATGTACGCTGAAATCGGATTCCGTAAGAACAGCGAAGATATCTACCAGAGTAACTACTGCGTCCACATGGATTGCTTCTCATGGGTCAACAGAGACAGTTACCTGCCTCAAGGCAGTCGAGGTCTGAAAGCTGTCACGGTCGCCAAGCTAGGCTACGATCCCGATGAGCTCGATCCGGAACTGATGACCCCTTACGCAAGCGAACATCCTCAAATTCTTGCGGAATACTCCGTCTCTGATGCTGTTGCGACGTATTATCTCTACATGAAATACATCCATCCCTTCATATTTTCACTCTGTACAATTATTCCACTCAATCCGGATGATACTTTACGAAAAGGCACGGGCACTTTGTGCGAGATGTTGTTGATGGTCCAGGCGTACCAGAAAAACATTGTGCTGCCGAACAAACACAAAGAACCGAGAGAAGCTTTCTGGGAAGGCCATCTTCTTGAGTCCGAAACGTACGTTGGCGGACACGTGGAGAGTATTGAGGCTGGTGTTTTTCGTGCGGACATCCCTGTCAATTTCGCCATCGATACAACTGCAATCGACGAGCTTGTGCACGATCTTGATGCAGCTCTGAAATTTTGTATTACTGTTGAAGAAAAGAAATCACTAGACGAAGTTACGAATTATCAAGAAATTCGAGCACAAATTGTTGAAAAGTTGGAGGACCTGAAGAATACACCCAACAGAAATGAGCGTCCCCTAATTTACCACTTGGACGTTGCATCCATGTATCCCAACATCATGACTACAAATCGCCTTCAACCTGATTCTATGATTGCTGAATCAGATTGTGCCGCTTGCGACTTCAATCGACCTGGTAAGACATGTGACCGACGATTGCCGTGGGCATGGAGGGGCGAGTTCTTGCCTACCAAGAGAGACGAGTATAACATGATACGCAGAGCGGTGGCGAATGAGACCTTTCCGGGTAAAGGCCTCAAAGCACCCAGACGAACGTTTCAAGAACTGAGTCTGGATGAGCAAGCTGCAATGGTGCGAAAAAGGCTCCAAGAATATTCAAAGAAGATCTACCACAAAATCCACGATTCAAAAACTATCGAACGGGAAGCTATCATCTGCCAAAGGGAGAATCCCTTCTATGTCGACACTGTCCGCGACTTTCGAGATAGGCGTTATGACTTCAAAGGGAAGCAAAAGGTCTGGAAGGGTAAGGCAGAAGCATTGAAATCATCCGGTGCACCAGCTCTGGATATTGAAGAAGCTAAGAAAATGATCGTTCTCTACGACTCTTTGCAGCTTGCACACAAGGTCATTCTCAATTCTTTCTATGGCTATGTCATGCGAAAGGGATCCAGATGGTACTCTATGGAAATGGCTGGTGTTACTTGTCTGACTGGAGCGCACATAATTCAAATGGCCCGGGAGCTTGTGGAACGAATCGGTCGACCGTTGGAGCTAGACACCGATGGAATTTGGTGTATGCTTCCGGCGACTTTCCCAGAGAATGTTGTTTTCACATTGAAAAACGGAAAGAGAATGGCTATTTCTTATCCTTGCGTGATGCTCAACCACCTTGTTCACGCACGGTTTACAAATCATCAGTACCAGAGTCTGGTGGACCCGGTCACGTTCAAATATGAAATACACAGCGACAATTCAATCTTCTTTGAGGTTGACGGCCCTTACAAGGCGATGATCCTCCCAACCTCGAAGGAAGAAGACAAGAATTTGAAGAAACGATATGCAGTGTTCAACCACGATGGAAGTCTCGCCGAATTAAAGGGGTTTGAGGTCAAGCGCAGAGGCGAGTTGAAGCTCATCAAAATTTTCCAGACTCAGATTTTCAGATTCTTTCTAGAAGGCAGCACTCTGGCGGAGACATACGGAGCAGTGGCTCGAGTCGCAAACCGCTGGCTTGACGTCCTGCATTCACATGGATCCACTCTTGCTGATGAAGAGCTGATTGATTTGATTTGCGAAAACAAGAGCATGACCAAGACCCTCGATGAATATGGAGGCCAGAAATCGACGTCGATTACAACCGCGAAGCGATTAGCAGAGTTCCTGGGAGACCAGATGATCAAGGACAAAGGACTGAATTGCAAGTATATCATTTCAGCAAAACCCAGAAATACACCAGTCACAGACCGAGCCATTCCCGTTGCGATATTTTCAGCGGATGACGGTGTCAAACGTTTCTTCTTGCGAAAGTGGCTCAGGGAGGACCCATCGGATATGGATCCCAGAGCCGTGATCGACTGGGACTATTACCTGGAGCGCCTTGGCTCTGTCATTCAGAAGCTCATCACAATCCCTGCTGCTCTGCAGAAGATCAGGAACCCTGTGCCGCGTGTTGCACATCCAGACTGGTTGCAAATGCGAATTACTGCAAAGGAAGACAGATTCAAGCAGAAGAAGATGACGGACCTTCTCGAGAAGCGACCCATTACTGAGCACTCCGTCAATCTCTTGGAGCATCAACTTCCTGCTGGTGGAGACATCGAAGACGCCCTAAGGACTGAAATCAAGTCTCAGACGCAAGTCACCAAACCTGCAAAACGAAAGGCCTCCGAATCAACGAACTGTGCCCCTGTTGATTCTCTTGCGTCTTTCCATCATAATGCTCCGCCGATTGACGACGACTATCGAGGCTGGCTGCAGCACCAGAAAAGGAAATGGAAGTTACAAAAGCAAGCCAAGGCGCGACGACGTCAACTTTTTGGAGAAAGACCAAACGTAGCTACAGATTCCATCAGCAGCTTCTTCCGCAACCAAGCGGAAATGATGTACACCAATACCTGGCATGTTCTGCAATTACGCCAAGGAGATTCCCCCGGCGAAGTAACAGCTTTTCTTATCATCGAGAAAAAGATTCACTCCTTGAAAATCAAAGTCCCTCGCACACTGTATCTTAACCTTAAAGGCGAAGAGCTTCCCAATGTGGATATACCAGGCTGTGATGTCGAAAAGGTCAGCCACGTGCTACCGAATGGCCATCCATCAGTCCACCTGTTTCAATTGACGATGCCTGAAGAGACCTACTTACGAGAAGAAGAGTCGGTATCCTTATTGTGCAACCATCCCAGTGTGGAAGGCGTTTATGAGCGTCAATTGCCGCTTTTTATGCGAGCCCTACTGAAACTGGGCAATATGTGCTCTTTCGATGAGAGTCAGAAAGGTGTCCTTGGGAAGGGCCTTGAACAAGGCTTTGATTTATCGGCGCTCCTTAGGAGTGATGCACAGTCGACGTACCTAGAAGACGCCAGCTCCCTAGGATATATCTACTTGTATCACGTTGCTGCCGGTGACCGGAATGTATTCGCACTCTTCTCAACCACTAAGCCAGAGGCGCATATCATTCTCATGAGTCGAAGCCGTGACACTCAGCTCCCCAATGCCGACAAGATATATGCCGATCAATATCGCCAAAAAGTCCAAGATGAAGCCCTGATGCAAACCACCTTCGAATATCAACCTTGCGTAAGTTTCAAGATTTCGCAGGTGACAACAAAAAGAAAGGCACACCTTGAGCTGGCGGATATATTGAAGAAGTGGCGGTCGGACGAGGTGAAGCCAACAATACTTCTGCTCCAGACAACTGTGCACAAGAAGCTGATGCACGATATCCGATCCGTTAGGGATTATCCCGTCATATGTCTGCCAGCAGAGCAATCTGACATAGATCTCCCTTCCTTGGCTTGGCAGGGTCATGCTATCAAGCACTTAATCTCTCACTATTTCAACATGTCCGGCTGGTTGGCGCATCTGATTGAGCTTGCTCGATACGGTGATGTACCTCTGTGCAACCTTGAGAGGGACGATCCTCGGTTTCTCATCGATTTGGCCTATGCTCGGAGGTTGAAGAGAAGCAACGTCATTTTGTGGTGGTCTGATCAAGCTCGCCCAGACCATGCTGGGCATGAGCGTGATGATATTTTGGGTCCACTCACCGAAATAGTTGAGATGCCCTCGATTAACAACCCAGGAGCCTACACATCTGTATGCGTCGATGTATCGGTGCAGAATCTAGCAATCAACACTATATTGACCTCATCCATCATCAACGATCATGAAGGCTCCACAGAGTCCGCTAGCTTTAACCCGACGGCAGAAGAAGAAAATCAGCTCAACTCCAATACGATCAAGTCGAATGGAGGATTTGCTCAAGCAGCACTGGAAGTACTCCGGGAGATGGTCAAGTCGTGGTGGGGGGAGGCTTGTCGCGGTCATCGACTCGCAGACGTAATGGTTCAACATTTAGTCCGATGGGTCGAAGCCACTGCTTCCTGTCTTTACGATCGACATCTGCACTATTATGTGCAGATGATGTCAAAGAAGGCGCTGCAGCAGCTCATCACCGATTTCCGACGAGTGGGATCACATGTTGTTTTCGCGAGCCCGACACGGTTGCTTCTGCAAACGTCAAAACAAGACGTCGAAAACGCATATGCATATTCCCAGTACATTCTCAAGTCGATCCAACAAAAGCCGCTTTTCCATTTCCTTGGACTCGAGGTCAAAGACTACTGGGATATCCTGCTTTGGTATGACGCATATAACTACGGCGGTAAAGGTACCTCCACGATGACAGAGGACACTAATCACTTTAGTCTCGAGACTGTTGTCCACTGGCAGATTTCACAGTTCCTCCCGCTGCCTTTGCAACCTGTTTTTGACGACTGGGTCATTACTTTCATCGAGTTGCTGCAGAACCTGAAAAGGCCACAAAGCTCATCTGAGAGTATATCGTCCACGATTCGGCCTACGCAAATGGCCTCTCCGTTCGTCAGTCTGACAGGAGATTCAACCAGCACCGAGGTCACAACCGTCCTCCAAGACCAGTTCTCCAAACCACTGAAGAGACAAATCACGAGCTTGATCCGTCGTCAACGGGAGGAACTATTACATCCCGAATTGGCCAGCGACTGGACATTTCCCTCTTTGCCTGGTGGTACTCTAGAATCAAGCGACTTGCGCCATCCTCACGATCCAGTCCTCGAGCTAGTTAAATCGCTCATGCAGCTCATCTCTTTGTCCAAGCCTCTCCAGCTTGAGGCACGGCTTCTCCGCAAAGAGCTCCTCGCCCTATTCGACGTCCGCGAGTTTGGAAAGGAGGCCCGATTCGAAAACCCCAGTGCGAGTTTACGCTTCGAGAATCTGGTCTGTGACACCTGTACCATGACTAGGGATCTGGACCTGTGCCGTGACGAGGATATTCTACCTGATGTAAATGAAAGTGGAGAGGCAAGCAATAAGCCTTGGACCTGCAATAGTTGCGGGACGGAGTACAACAAAATCGTTCTTGAGGAGAGACTCATTGCGAAGATTCACGCAATATTATTGGCTTGGCAGACGCAGGATATTAAATGCAAGAAGTGCAGTGTTTTGCAGGGTGACGACGGTGTATTTGCCGATCATTGTTCATGCGGTGGAGAGTGGGTTGCCACGGTAAACATCAAAGACATTAGGGAGAGATTAAAGGTCGCGGAACGTGTAGCGGGAATGTATGGGCTGAGAATGTTGAAGGCTGGTGTTGAGGAGGTCAAGATTATGTGTACGATTTCATGAGGACATGGGAAATGAACAATTGTGCATATTGATTCCCCCACGGTCAGTGAATTCTGGAGAAGTAGAGGCAGTCGTTCCTCCATATGAACAATTGTTCATTCTATCATATCGCAGTTCATTCCACCGGCCCAGCAAATGGACCCCGCTATGGCCACAATTCTAGCAAGCATGGAGGTGGAACACGTCTTTGCTTGCTGCGTTGGCCTTTCCAGGCACACCTTGGTTGTCGGACATGAAGAATTGCTCCTATACGTATTAAATACCCCAGGCACAAGCGCATAGTAGACATCATTTGATTTGAATAATGGCAAACCTTGTCAACCTGTGCATTGTGTCGGTGCGTTACCTGCAGAATATGCGCAACAGAGCGGCTACATACACTCCACCGTACTCCGCACAAGGCTGGCTGCGCTAAGGTGAAATGCTCGTCCGTGCGAAGCAAGAGGTGCCCTTCCGTTCCAACTCATCGATATACCATGCTTGACCATCGTACTCCTACGTACTCTGGTCGACGGTTTACCACTTCTTTTCCTCTGCCTTTGTCAGAATCTGTCGGTATTTCTTCCATCCACAGTCCATTTCTTCATTCAAGGTGGGCAAGATGGACTATTTCACAATGCAGATGAAGTAACATTACTTTCCCCGACTCTCGTACTCTAGCATTATTCTCGCCGCAAGCTGCATCAAGCTAGCAATTATCATCTAGATTGCGCGTCTCTTCTGGTCGCCTACCTTCTTTCGCTCTGCCAACCTACTTTTGTCAACATGGACGGCGCGGCGCAGAATCGACCCACCCAGCCTGCGCCGCAGCAGCAGGCATCCCTGATTCGGCCTGAGCAAGTTCAGAGACTGCCTCAGCTTAATCCGACCCAGAAACAGCAGTTCGAACAAGGCGTGAGGAGATTCTGGGAGATTTTGAACACCACGCCTCAAACAGATCCCAAATATACTGAGGCATACACAAACCTTGTCAAGACCTCGAGCCAACTCATGGCGGGCATGAAACAGTGGCAGCAGCGAAAGCAGATGGCTCAACAACACGCAGCTCAACAACAGACCTCGGTTCAGGCGCAGACACAGGTACAAACACAAGCACAGGGACAGGGACAGGGACAGGCACCAAGGGCGACGGGCCAACCTGCCCAACCACAAGCGGCCGCAGCACAAGGTCAGGGCGGAGGCAGCGCTGTACAATTCAGTCAGCTCTTGCCCGAGATCCAACGCAAAGTAAACGAGCAGCACTTTTATTACCCGCCGGCAATGACAAAGGGGAGTGAACCTGCGGAAGTGTGGTTACGCGAGGCAAAGGCCAGGTTGGGTCAAGCATTGCAAAGACTTCAAGTTGCCAAGCAGAAGAAGGCCGAATTTCAGCGACAGGCTCAGCAGCGCCAAGCAGCAGGGAATCCGTTGACTGCAAACGAAACGGAAGTTTACAACAATAAGATTGCGCAGTGCGACCGGGCGGTCAATGAGAGCACCTCATTTATGAAGAAATTCAATGAGCAGCAGGAACAATTTCGAGCCGCGCAGCCTCAACACCAGTTCTCAAAACAGGGTGTACCCGTTGGTGAGGGAGCAGAAACTCCTGCCGCACCCCATATGCAACCTGGTATTCAAGCCCCTACTGCCCATTCCATCAGCAGTGCTGTTTCGGCCGCACGTAACCAAGCAAGCGCCGCACAAGCAGGCAGCCCGACTGCACCTGCACCTCAAGTCGGTCAAGGCAGTGGTGCAGTCACTCAACATACGCTCATTACAGGGACTCAGACACAGTTCCCCCAAGCCGGCCAGGGGGATACATCTGCAGGCCCTCGCCCAACATCCCATCAAGGTCAAGCTATGCCTCCTTTACAACAAGCTGCGTCTGCGGGCTCTCATCTTCACCCACTCAACACCAGCATCAACGGCATCAAGACTGCTACGCCCAATATTACCAAAAATTTGCAAGTTCCTGAGCCTAAACCCGTGGCAATGCCTCCATCTCGACCAACTTTGACCGGTGGCGCCGGGGTGGGACTGCCTGGTCAGCTGGCGCAGCCCGCCATCACCGCATTGCCTGGGTATGTACTGGAGTCGAGCGAAGATGGGCGAATTCTATCCAAAAAGAAATTGAACGAATTGGTACGCGAGGTTTGCGGCCCAGGCCCAGACGAGCAGCTCGACCCTGAAGCCGAAGAAGTAAGCTGTAGTTATTTCCAAGTCAGATGGTATATGCTAACACTAGCCAGATCTTTCTCTCAATTGCCGACGATTTCGTTGACGAACTTGTCTCATCAGCGTGTAAGCTTGCAAAGCTCCGTGGCTCGTCAAGTCTAGAGCTGCGCGACATTCAAATCGTTCTCGAACGCCAATACAATATTCGTGTGCCGGGGATTTCAACCGATGAGATTCGAACCGTACGAAGACCACAACCTGCGCCAGGGTGGGCACACAAAATGAGTGCTGTTCAAGCCGCCAAACTAACAGGAGGTGGAACTGCTACGGCTGCGACTGGCACAAATGGAAAGGAGAACTGAGTGTGTTTATCCTAAAATGGGTATGTACTTACGACTCTTAACAATGCGCAGGCGTTCGAAGGAGGGCGAGCGGAATGGCGCGAGAGGTGATTATGAGCATGGGCAGACGGCATAAAATTCAGGGAAGGCGTACCTTCTCGTCCCTTACAAGCCCGAGAGATCAGGTGACCCCGAGGTATTGTAATGCACTTCACGAAGCATCATTCGGCATGGAATACCCCATGGCGCGGGAGGTCAAGAGGAAATCGATGTCTTGATACTCTGTACATCCCAAATCAAAGTTCAAGATTGCCATCGAGCAACTACAGTATCATTGCAGCCTACCCAGTACAACGTTTCCTTAAGGGCTAACCAGGGGATGTCTGATGCGTCCTAATTCGGAACGAGCCCAAGGCTTTAGGTAGTGCACAGACGCCGCGTCCAAAGCCCCGCCATCCGCGCCAGTGTCTTTCTTTAAAGTACCAAGCAGATAGATGAGTCTGAAAATGCTGCCCAAGACTTGACGGAGACATCGGAATTGGTTCTCTATGCGAAAAAGGGCGAAGCAGGCTTGGGGGTTTTGCCTCGCCCAGCGCATAGCGGTGCCCAATCAATTAGTGACAGTGCGGGCGACGTCATCAGCAGCCCAACTCACTGCCACTCTTTACCCCCATCCGTTCTGAGTAGCGTGATCGTCACAATCCTGCTGCTTCTCGTCTTCCTCCTCCTCTAGGACTCTTCATATTGATCGTCGCTCGCCTTTCGACAGTGCAGTTCTCTTCACCTGCTCAACCATCTTACGGAGGGAAAAAATTGGAAGTGGATCGGCCCTACCCTCTCTCATCTCTTCTCACTCCCCTCGATTGCCTCTTGTCCAGGATCGACATTCAGATCCTTTCCATCCGGGCAGATCCACACAGCAAACATGTCAAGATATCGTGGTGACCCTCGCTACTCTGATGGCAATCTTCCGTACCGCGATGCTGCTCCCCAGAGATGGGATGCCGAGCGCTTCGTTCGTGAGCGAGAAGTTCGCGCCCCGGCTGCACCGGTCATTGACCAACGCCCTCCGTATGCCGATTACCCACCTCGTCGGATCCCGGTCTACGAGGACCAGAGATACTATGAAGAAGACCGCTATGGTCCTCGTGGCGCCTCGGAGCGCAAGTATTTTGAAGAAACGGACTACTATGATCCACGAGCGCAACGGGGCCAGGTGGTCCCCTATGCCCCCGAGCGACCACCCAGACTGGATCCTGTCCCACGACCGGGCATCATCCGCAGACAGTCCAGCTTAGACACCTTTGATCGCCGGCCAACCAGGCGTTATGATGACTATGACGACGGGCATCGACCTCAACGAGGATTTCCTCCGCGGGAGTTGATACCTATCCGGGCGCCTTCACCCAGACGGTATCCTCGATATGACGAGAAATTTTACGAAGATATCCGCGTGCAAGACCCGGACTATTACGGGGATGATGGTTTCAGGGAGTACCGTGAGCGCGAATGGGTCACACGGAGAAGAAGAAACAGCAGCCCGTCCCCAGAACGCAGGACGGTGAGGGAGGAAGAGATCATTGAAGAGCGCAAAGAGGAGATTATCGAAGAGAAGCCATATCCACGTCGAGGGAAGACCCGCATGCCCAAAAGACTGGTTCATACTAAAGTGCTGTTTGATCTCGGCTATCCTTATTACGAAGAGGTAAGAATATTTAGTTGTCTTGAAAGCTCTGCGAGCTAACGGCTACAGGATGAACGAACTATTATCATTGAAAAGGCGTTAGGTCCCGACAATATCGATGAGATCTTCACGAAAAGCAAGGAATATCGGGAGAGAGAGGGTGAGTTTTGTAGCCACTCGTCCGGGGAACGTGTCTCTGAGAATTACAGTTACAACGACTCGCCTCATTGAAGCTCCTCCTACTGTCGCCCCTAGCATCCGAGTGCCTACTGTGCATGGAGGTGAAGTGGTCATTGAGAAGACAGAGAAAAGAGAGGAGATGAAGATTGTGCCCCTTGCGGAAGCACCCCGGTCCGTCCGTGATTGGGATGGCCTCTCAGTTCGGTCTCCGTCTCCAAAATCCCACCGCTCACGGTCTCGACGACGGTCGCGCCGCGGATCTTCCCCGGAAGTTTTCAAGGAGACAGTTGTAGAAAAGAAGGAAGTGATCAAGGAAGTCTCTCCCGCACGAACGCACCGGTCTCATACCACGCACCGTCGAGGCTCGTCTGTAAGCGATGAAACGATCATCGAGCGAAGAATCACCCGCGAAGAAGTTGAAGATTCCAACTCAGTTCATGTGGGTCCACTCGCACTGGTGGTCGACCGCAAACCACACCGCAGCGAGCGTGATATCAAGGAGGAAATCCGCAGACTGGAAGCTGAAAGACGAGAACTGAGGCGCGAGAGACGATATGAGCGTGACGGTGGAGAGGTCGTCAAGATCGAGCGGGTCCGTGACAGAACCCCATCGCCTCGGGGAGAAGTTATTATTGAAAGACGTGGCGACGAGGTTCTCGAGGTCAAGAAGGATCGGAGAGGTAGGATGTCGTTGATCGTCAAATGAACAAGTATTCCTGATTGACCGGCGTTGGATAGGTCGCTCGCGCTCGGCTGCTCCCAGCCCGGCAATCATCAAGGCCATGATGGCCACTCTGACCTGAAAAGCTTCTCCAGGAAGCGCGCACAATATGGTTTTTCAGTGTTGGGCCCTCCAAGGGGGATGGGAGATCATTTACGTACCAGTACCAATCTTTCTGCTAAGCTAGGATCGATATGTCTGCGACAAACATTTGATGTCACTATGCTACACTTGGACAAAGTACAGGGATTGAGCGCCAACGATTTGAAAAACATGACGGCATGATTAAGCAGGTTTGACGAATCTCCTATGTAGACTAGTGAGGTTGTGGATGGGAGGGTGCCGACGTTGATCTGATAGACATGAGTTAGGCGAATGCATTACTCTGAAGTTTCATCAAAAATCCCTATTGAATAGACCCTAAACTTGAAGAAATCTGGTTACAGAGACCTGCGTTGAGCCCCTGGCTATGATCCTTGTGTGTAGGACCAGGCGAACAGGTTACCGTAGTGAAGTGCACATGTGAACAGCGTTTCCCCCATACCCCCGGCGCCCGTTTGGCCGATGTCAGACTGCTTCCCATCGAGCCCATCCATCCCTCTTCCTCCTCCAACACACAAATCACTTGCACTACCTCAGTATATTACCCTCGATTCCCAAAACTGCACACTTCACTTTGGTCTGTTGTCATTGGCCTCTGCGTGATCTCGAGCAGATTGCTACAATCATGGACAAGTTTTCTGCATTTGGCAAGAACATCAGGTGCGCCCCCTGTCGATTGATCTCAGGCCAAATCGCTCATCCTAGAAATCGCACTGACTGTGGTTTGCTGGGCAGTTCGGCATTCAATTCCACAGTTACTCCTTCCTGGCAACGAAGTCAACAGTATCTCAAAGAGCAGTTCGGAAATGCCGACGACAAGGTTTGCGACGACGACAACAACACTTACATTTCAGCGGACTTCACTAACCCCGAGCCTTTCAGACGCAATTACCCGCAGACTATATCGAGCTGGAGAAGCGAGTCGATGCTCTGAAACAAGTCCACCAGAAATTGCTTGACGTAACGTATGACTCCTCTAATCAATCCCTACGATCTCTGTTGACAGCCGGTCCAGCAAGCAATACCAGAATGAAGCCTATGACTACCCCCCCAACATCCGCGAATCCTTTGGGGATCTCGGTCGCAGCATTTCGGAGAAAGTGACGCTCCTCTCTAAAGCTCACAATGCGTCCGAAGCAGCAACCGCCTTCACTGCTCCCCCCTCTGCAAAGCCCCAACCGAAGACGTTCAATCATGCCATTGCCCGTGCCTCACTGGCAAGTTCCCAGCTCCTCAAGCAATCCAACACTTCCGGAACGGGCGAAGATCCACTAGCCAATGCCTTGGAGAAATATGCCCTTGCGGAAGAGAAAGTGGGCGAGGCTCGATTGGCGCAGGACCAGGCCATCCAATCCCGATTTCTTGCTGGATGGAGTACCACACTGAACACAAACATTCAATTTGCGACCAAGGCCAGGAAGGCCGTCGAGAACAGTCGGCTGTTGTTAGACAGCACCAAGGCATCCAAGAAAAGTCAAATTCAGGGTCGTGGCATGAATCCAGATGATGAGACCGCCATGAGCGAAGACGCTCGGGCTGAGATTGAGGCCAAAGAAGACGATTTCGTCTCACAGGTGGAGGAAGCTCAAGGCGTGATGAAGAATGTGAGTCTACGCCATATCTGAATAGATGACGCTACGACAGAACTAACACTGTAGCAGGTTCTGGACACGCCCGAACCACTCCGTAACCTGGCGGACTTGATTGCCGCGCAGCTCGAATATCATAAGAAAGCATATGAAATCCTGTCCGAGTTGGCGCCAGAGATTGACCAGCTCCAGGTCGAGCAGGAAAGTAACTATCGCAAGAGCAGAGAGGGTGCTTGATGGTGCCACATAGTCTCTAGCTCCTGTACTTTGTATTTTGTTTCGCCTACTACTGTTTTCCCAGCAATGGGATGAATGGGACGGAGGGAACGTGGTTCAGCTTAGATCCGCATACCAAATGTCACTTGTTTGTTGGCGTTGTTCTCGTAGATATTGATGCCAAAGACGATGCCGTCACTTTCCTCTCTAGTGTTTGCCGAAGATTGACCGATTTTGAGCCAACTTCCCTTACTTCCCTCCCTCGTCTCGAAACTTTCTCCCGCTCGATTGCGCCTCTCGTCCAGCTCTTGCAACCAGAAGCATTCAACGACTGCCTCCAGAGACAGTATTCCCCACCAATTAAGTTGACAGATCACATAGCGTCTCGAAGAATATTCTCGAAGAATAGGGCCTCCTCAGCAGTGCCTCTCGCCAACCTTCCGCAGTCGTCGTTCGAACTACCCCAGTGAAATCGCAGCTTCCTGTGACCACGGCGGACGATTGAGTACTTGACCCAAGCCGATAAGGACAGGTATACAAGATGGCAAACGGGTATGTTCACATCGTATACACACAGACCCTACGACCTCGGAATCCATTCGCCATCGCACCCTCCACCCTTTTACTCCTTTCGCTCCAGTGAGTCAAGTTCTCGGGTTCGATATCTCCATGCAGGAGGATGGAATACCAGGCCCAACAAAAGAGAAGCAAGGTGATTATTGGAGTGATTGAGTTATCAAGGAGGGTTAAACCTCTACATTTTGGACGACGTCATATCAGGTTTTGTTAACGCAACATGGCAATCCACCCACGCTCAAGGCTGGATGCCTTGATTGATTGTTGAATACGTGTTTCCCACTTCCCTCAGCCTGAACTTTAACCTCACCTCACCGCATGTCTCGACTTGGTCTGCTCTCGCGCCTCCAACCGTTGAAATACCGCCAGCTGAATAGACGAAGTCACATTCGAGCTAACCTATTGTCTCTTATTACGGCAGGTGGTCGATTCTAATCGGTCTGATCGTCATCGTCGCCCTCAGCGCCGCAGCGTGGTTCTTGAGTCCCAAGGGTGAAAATCAGACGTATGTACCGTATCTCTTTCTGTACAATAGTCGTTCTCCACGTCTCCCTGTCGAGTTGACAAACATACGGAGGGAAAGCTATCATAAGTGTTTCGACATGCTTGCAACGAAATTTCAAATTGTCTGGAAGTCTGATTCTGACCTTTGTTGCTCTAGGATTTGGAGGAGCACCCTCATTCTAAGCTTTGCAAGTTGCTACATCATGTGGGGTATGTACCATGTTGTTCGTTGCACTTTTTCCTGCCTCGCCACTTTTGTCTATCACTGACAGCAAGCTCTGAGCGCCGCTGCCTCCAAAACTTCGTATGAGAGAGGCACGGCGCACAGTGGATCTTTTTGTGCTACACATCCATGCTTACGATGCTGTTCGCTGACTTCGTGCGACAATACAGCAATAACTTTTTTCGCGCAATGGCATCCCTTAATCGAGCCGCGGATGGCAAAACTGAGACACGGATATGCAGGCGGTAGTTGAGGAGAATGAAACTCCAGGGCCAGGACACGTTACTGGATTCACCTTCAATGAATTTTGCTCCTGGCGGAAATGCAGGGCAGTGATCGAAATGGTCGACGCGACAGGAGTTTCCCAAGGCCGTGAGTTCGCGGCATGAAGTGGATAATGGCTCCGCGTATAAGATAATACCTCATGTGTAGGAATGGAATGTCGTGCGGCGTGCATGGTACAATAGCATAGGCTACATGGGCTCCTGGGACTAGTAGAACAGAATCGCTCAGACAGCACTTCGAGCGCGGATCACTAACGCTGCTTCTCCATGATACAATAGGTATGTACAACAAAAAATGCGTTCTAACATCTTGAGTGTGTCGTAGACGTTGAACGATTGTTATCAATTCCTCGTCTACTCTCTGTTCCAGCCTAAGATACGAAATGCTCTGGGGTGTTTGCTCGTCCTGGATGTGTTCACCACGGCATTTCGTTTACCCATGATCCAAGCTAACGACTGCCCCAGCTAAAAATGTCGAACAAGACTGATCTGACTTTGTCATGTTGTACTCCGTATTCATACTGTACAAAGGATTACCGGCCGCCTTCGGACTCGGCTCTCGAGCACGAAGCAGCCTCAGCCGTCCTTGCTACCCTCCGTCTCTCCCTGTTTGGCTCGGTTGTCTTCCGCCTGCTGCGCATTAGGCTCAAGATCGTCTGTGGTCTCCTCCACCGAGATTTTCACCTCATCACGTCGAGGCCCGTGCTCTACATTTTCCATCTTGGCTTGATCTCCACCTTCATTTCCCTTGGGAGCCTCGTCCTTTGGCCCAATCAACGATGGCGGCTCCGTCCTGATTGGACTCATGTCCTCATTATCCTGGACAACTTTATCGTCACTATTCTCTGAATCCTCCATAGCATTCACCTCTCTCACCTGAACAGCTGCTCCACTGTCCCCGGCTTGACCCTGCCTCTCAGAGTCGATTGAATTGTCGTCATCCAGGTCATGAATATGCCCCAATATTGCCTTGAGTACGTCGCTTCCGCCCGTCCTTATCGAGCCACCGGAAGGGGACGTAATTTTTTGCCCGCCTTCTTCATCGTCAAACGGTTTGGTTGTCTGTTCTATGGGGGTTTCCACTCTCATTGGTCCATCGTTCTCGTTCACGTAGGCGACGCTGTTGATAGTCCCGAGACCGACATCTCCATCTACGACAGTAGATGGTGATTCTAGCTTCTGCGAATTCATATGCACCGACAACGGATCGATATCCTCTGATGTGCCTGTAGGTGTCGGATCCTCCGGAGCGCGAGGCTCGTATTTTAGCACGGTAGAGGTAATGTCGAGTCTAGGGAAGAGACGCTCCGGGGAAGCGTCATTGTTCCCTTCCTTTTCTCGGTCATCCCTATCTAGGGAGGCTCCGTCTCCCCCTGATATTGTGATGGCCTTGGGTATCTCTACAAGTTGAGGTGGCGGCGGTGGATTTTCGGGCGCTGCTATACAGCTTTTCGGACGCTCTTCTTCCTCTTCTTGGCCCTCGGCGATGGTGGCAACATGGCTCCCAGTGCTAGGGGTGTGTTTGTGTCTCCGGGTTGTTGCACCCGTGCTGACTGTCGTCGGGGCCGTTGGGGTAGTAATGTCTAATGACGAGCATCCACTGGACGGCTCGTCCAACATCGAACTCGATGTATTATCCTTATGCAGGATTTGCGGTCGTAGACCACCTTCACGGCCAGTGGTGGCTTCGTGGACTCCTTCAGCTTCGGTTGGAATCGTATAGCTGTCCTCGGGGATGAGATGGTACTCGTCGCAGACGACTTTGAACAGCATGTACAGCCCATAAGTAGCTTCGACAGACCAAAAGACATCACGATGTTGAAACCAAGCATGTGCGAATATGCGATACACGCGTCGGAAGATATTGGTCAGTTGTCTCATGCTTTGAATGACATTGCCTGCCTCCGAGCCTAAAGCTAACCGCGAAGGGAAATGCTTCGGACTGGTTAGAACGTTCGCAGCCCAATCGAGGGTATGGTTGCAATAGTCGATTGCGCAGCATGATTTTGGCGGCTCATGCACGGCGCAGAGATACTGCCATTCACTAGCACGCATTTCAGGACATGTCTGAGAAGAACAGGGCGGATTGTCGTTCATCAGGAAAATCGAGACGATGTTAGCTTTCTGAGTGAGAAATCGACATAGTTCGTACAGCCATAGGTTCCTATCCACGAACTCGTTGTCGTTGATTTGTGGGGGTGTTGCGAGTTGTAGAGCAGATTCTTTCGTGATGGGAATGGTGTGCGTAGGTTCTGGCGTGTGAGTGAGGTGGGCGTAGAGGGATTTAAGGTGTTCTTGAAGTTGAAATGGCGAGTCAAGCTGACTCAACGGAACCAGGGGAGGACCAAGAGCCATGTCTGCAGCTTTTGTTCCGGGTCTAATCCTCCTTGCTGCCCCTTCATCTGGTTTTGAAGTCGCTTCAAGCGATAGTTCTTTGGAGAGATCAACACCAGGGCTTTTAGGACCAAATTGAACTTCTGGGATGGGTGGAGGAGACGGCAAGCGAGGGGAGCTGGATGGCGAGACGCCAGATCTCGAGTGCGTAACAGCAGTCATTGTGTATGTGGAGGGCGAAATTGTGTCCGTCGACGATCAACTTGTTCTCGCGCTGAAAACGGTGCTCAAACGACAGAAGTAGTCGCCTCTTCAGTCTGTGGAAAGGGTGCCCCTGCCGCCGTATATTGCCGTTCGTCCTAGAGAGAGGATTGCTAGTTCCCTTTCATGGTCCTCACAATCTAAGCAGCTCTGCGTAGACGTCGAGCCAAGCGCAATAAGAGGAGACCAGATTGGTCGCGTTGTCGCAGAGAGGGCGCTAACTTCCGTGCTCTTGGTTGTTCCGGAGTACTGTGGCCTACATAGCCCAATCGGGAGACCTCATGTGTTAATCACAGGAAGGGAGTTTCGCTTCGGGGTAGTTTGAGGCCTTTCACAGGTGGCAGGTGAGGTGCAGGCGCAGTGGAACAGCTTAATAGCCAGCCGAACTGACACTCGACCTGTTGGTGGGAACAGGCGAGTAGGATCCGGATGAGTTGCCTTCTTTGAATATAAGGCTGCGAGATCGACAAGCGGCTGGACGCTAAACCTTAAGCTTGACTATCGTGAACCTCGGCTGATATTCCTCTTTTGTGTGTCGACGCGGGTGTGTTTCATCGGACGTGGCCATAGTAGACGCCAAAGAGGATGGATTCACATTTCGATTCCAACATTGCCTCAGTCTCTCACTTTAGCCGAAGAAGTTTTATTACTGCAGGACTCGGCACCACCTTACGGACGACCGGCAAGAATGGATGACGATGAAATACCGGACCTCGTCGAAGTCTCTGGGAATGGCAACGCCACCGGCACTGTGGGAGATGAGTCTGGGAGAAAGGTGCCCATCACTATCATAACAGGCAGGACTGCTCTCTGGCAAATAGTTGTCACTGTATAAGCTGACAGGAGCACTCGCAGGCTACCTAGGCGCAGGGAAGACAACGTTGCTCAACTATATCTTGACAGCAGAGCACGGCAAGAAAATTGCGGTCATTTTGAACGGCATGTGATGGTACATCCACTTCCTCCAGAGCCCCCCCTCTTATCAATGGCTTCCATACTATTCATTCTCGATGTCCAATGATCAACGCTTATTTCTAACATCCTTTCGGCGTAGGCAGAATTCGGAAACACTACGGATATCGAGAAATCCCTAACGGTCAATCAGAACCACCAGGCCACAACAGAATGGATTCCTCTGGCTAATGGGTGTATCTGCTGCAGCGTCAAAGACTCTGGAGTCGCAGCATTGGAGGTTCTGGTTGAGCGGCAGAACGACTTTGATTACATTCTCCTCGAGACTACGGGTGTTGCAGATCCCGGGAATATTGCGCCCATGTTTTGGCTCGACGAAGGTCTAGGCAGTAGTATTTACCTCGATGGCATCGTCACGGTTGTTGATGCGAAGAATATCCTCAAGAGCCTCGACGAGCCGGCCCCTGAAGAGTTGCCACAATCCGAGTCCCACGATCGCCATGACCACCACGTTCCACAGCTCACAACTGCTCACCTCCAAATCTCCCATGCGGACGTAATAATCCTCAATAAAACAGATCTTGTCTCTCCAATTCGGCTTTCTGCAGTTGAATCCCGAATAGCTTCCATCAACGGCCTAGCGCGCATCGTCCCGACAACACATTCTCGCGTCACCAACCTCAGTGGCACTATCCTGGACTTGAAGGCGTACTCGACCTTCCCCTCCAACTCTAGTACGTCCAACACCGAGAGTAATGCAATGCCCGACTTCGCCTCCAAAGGCCACTCCCACCTAGACCCGACGCTCTCCACAGCTACGTTCAGCTTACCTCCTTTTGATCCGCAAAAACTGCACCTTCTCTCAGGCTGGTTGGAGACACTGCTCTGGGACGCCCAGGAGTTGCAGATGAGAAGCGAGCGAAAGTACGAAATCCATAGAACGAAGGGGCTAGTAAGGTGCACGGATGGGAGCACTAGGGTTGTGCAGGGTGTGAGGGAGATTTTTGAGATCATTGAGGTGCCGAAGTGGAAGATTGATGGTGCCAAAGGGGCAGAGCATTTGGGCGACGATCAAGTGATGGCAGGAGAAGGGAAGATCGTGTTTATAGGGAGGAATCTGGATTTGATTACAGCATTGAAGATTGGTGAGGACGGTAGCTCCCCTTGATGTGAGGGGGTGAAAATACACATGACGGCCTGGAAAAGACAGGACAATAACTGCTTGAATTAAGCTCAAGTTGGGAATGCTATTCATGATCATGTCATAGGTTATAATATCGTGAGTTCTGTCTCACCTCACAAGTAGGATGGAAGTTTGAAATCTGCTAACACCTCATAACCTTCAGATATTCGAGACCGTGGCAGAGAACCGACTCCCGAAAAACATCTAGCTTTCCCTGATTGCATGTTCGACATCCGCAGTGCCACGCGATACAGTGAATCGAAACAGGTCAATCCGCCCTGTGATACGACAAGCTCTCGTTCGTCCGGTCGTTTGCTCGCCGTTGAGTTGATTTGGTTTCGCAACCATGATCCTTTCCAGTTTCCCGATCGACGCCGCCAGTTGCATTGTACAAAACCCGAAAAGGTAAAAGCAAAACTCCCAATCCTTCTTGATTCGAATGCTATTCCAATTATCTGTGAGAACATCACCTGCCGTGATAATAACATGCATCCTTAGGCTGCGTTGCGCATCAAAGAGCCGAAAGATATCCTCATAACTATAACCTATCCCAAGAATCCAGCCTCAGCTGTGGGAACATTTCGTGTCGTCGTCATCCGAGGTCGATAGACATGCCGTGATTCACTTGCGCATAAGTGCATTCGTATTAGTCCGCCAATCTATTAAAAGAAAAGTGGTCAAATAGCTGCCAAATCACCCCACAAATTCATTCTGCGTTCAGCAGTCAAGTTTTCGCTTTATACCGAACCTGATCAGACATTCGACCTGTCGTTGCAACAGGGGACTGCTAACAGTGTAAGCGAACATTGAGCCTGCTCAAGGCGTCTCTGACGAAGAACTTCTGAAGGTCTGACTCTCGCTTGGGCTAGGATATAACGCATTTGCGAGCTTGGGAGCCTCCTGTTGGGCTGGAGCTTTTCCCTTGAGCGGGTCAGCCGACGTGCTGTTGCTCGTTCGGCCGTGCTATTTGTGCCATGTCACCCAGTTCAGCCTCAGCCAATGGCTCGTTCCATAATGGTAGAGTGTTCGCTCTGTCTTTCCCTGCTGTATCTCTTAACGAAGCAGGAGGGGCTGTTTCGCTCATCGTACAATCACCGTTACCGATATCTGCGAACAGAAGGGCTGCTTCATGATTTTGACCTAGATCGAGAGTCTCGTTGGCAAGCCGAGGGTCATTAGCGGCCCGCAAACTATCCTCAATCTCAGGTATCTTGTCCCATCTTGGTAGCAGTTGTTGCTTCTCGGTGGCTCGCGACATAAGAGAAAAGCAGATATCGTTACCAAGGGCATCAAGGGGTTCACTGTAGCCACTGTCCATGAATGGAAGACTCGGAGGTTTCATTGTTGCTGTCCTTGGAGATTGGTCAGTGATTTTCTGAGGTATAGTATTCCCATCGGCAGGTGTCACAGAGTTCGAACTATCCTTGACACGTAAGGCATCGCTCTCTTTATCAGGAGTCATGTAGTCGCTGTTTTGACTAAGGAAATCAGTCGCGCTCTCGAAATTCTCAATGGTGCTCTCCACATTCTCAGGTGCGTCCTCTACTTTTTCGAGCATTTTCTGGGTAGTCTCTGTTGTGTTATCCAGATTCTGAAGGGGGTTGTTCATAGGCTCGGGCTTCCGCTGAATAGCCTCTGTTGTGTTTCCCGGCTTCTTAGGAGCGATGCTCATGGGCTCATGCGCACTCCTACTGGTCTCTTTTGTGTGCTCGGACGCCTTCTGAATATTCTCCGTCGAGTCTTTTGGATTCCCAGGGACGTTGCCTACTTGCTCCGGTGTCTTTTGAATATTCTCCGGCGCGTTCGCTATATTCTCAGGTGCGTTATCCACTTGCTCAGGTACCTTCTGAATATTCCCTGTCGACTTCACCAGGTCCGTTAAAGTCTCCAGGTGTTCCGTTGAATCGGCCAGATCATTAGGCGCCATCTCCAGATTCCCGGTGGGATTCTGGAGATATTCTGTTACGTCCTCGGGATACACAGTCTTGTTCTCTGGCTTCTCGGTCATGTCACCCAACTTCGGCGCATTATTCGGGTTTTCCTCTATTGTATTTCCTAGATCTTCGATCGTGTCCTCTGAGTTCCTAGGGGCATGCTCTAATTTCGCGGTCGGACTTTCTAGACAGCCAGACTTTTCGGGGCGATACTGGGCCAAAGCAGCAAGAAGATCCTGGCTATTTCGAGGTGTACTTTCAGAAGTTGCAGAGGTTGTCGCAAGAAGCGAAGGGCGTCGGACTGGTAGAGGATGAAAAATGTCTGCGAGTCCAATTGCCTCAGTCGCCTCAGCCGCACCCTTTTCCTGTGGGTGTGCTTGTTCCTCAAAGTCACTCTCCCCTAGTGCAGGACCCTCTAAAATCTTCAGTTCTTCGTCATTGAAAGTCCGGCGGGAAACCAAGTAAGGATGACCATCCAGTTCGAGCTCATCAAATTCTCGATCCATTCCCGGAGATATGGCCACGATGTTCGGTTCCAGATCCTCGGTTGGGGTTGGCCGCTCATCCTCAGATTCCCAGTGATGTCTCTCGTTCTTTCCAAGATGTGCATAGTTGGTAGGTGGTCTTCTGCCCCTGGGTCGGTCGTAGCCTGAGGTCTCACTCTCAAACTCGTAGTTGGATGACTTCGGATACGTGAATGTATAGTCATCCCGTGAGCTCTCTGGCGAGTATGGAGGGGCCTCGTACTCCTGTATGTTTGAACTCAACCGCAAAATATCGTCCCGCTCAACCGCGTCAGCCGGGTCGATGTATTTCTTCATTGTTCGCAATTTCAAGGCAGGCCGCTGATGCGGTGGGATCTTTTCGGAGGAGCTGGGTATTCTTGATGGGAACAAATCGACCAATTCTTTAGCAGATAATCGATCCCTGGGACGGGGGGACAGGCAGATCCGAACAATGTCTTGATACCACTTGGGGACGTCGGATGGGAATTCTTCAACACTCAGGGGTGGTACATGTCGTTCAGGCTCGTCGTCATCCATGGCCAAAGCCCACAAAGTCATCCCGAGTTGATAGATGTCCGATTTCTCGCCAATGTACATGGAAATTCGCTGATTGCTGGCAATCTTGGTGGCAATCTCGGGGGGCTCCCACCCAACTGGGCAGCCTCTCCGGTTGATGTCGATGATCTTGGCATTTCCCTCGCCGTCAACGACGATGTTGGAAAGCGTGAAATCGCCTTGAACGTAACCTTCTTCGTGTATCTCACTGAGACCACGAACTGCCTGCTCCGCCCACCTACTACGATCCTCCCACGCGATTGCACCTCTGTGGTCGTAAAGTAGATCCACAATCGCACCCCTTTCCGCGTAGCCGATCAACAGACCTTTGACGACGGATTCTGTGTCATCAAGGACAATAGCTTCAAGCTTGATGACATGATCAGAATCATGGAGTGCATGCAGAGCATTAATTTCATACAGAAATTCGTCGACCGTGTCCGGTCCGGGGATCTCTTTCTTGATGTAGACTGTCCCCTTGTGTAGAACCTTATACACAAAGCCGGAAAGGTGTGAATCGAAGGCCAGCTCACTTTCTCGGATTTGCATAGGTCGGAAGGCTACATCGTTGAGGATGTGAGAGAGGGTAGTTTTGGGTGGGTATGGAATGATCTCGTTGACATCCTCCGTCACGTGGACATGTAAACGACCGTCAGTGGTTTCCAACTTGAGATTAGTAACGGTGTCATAGAATTGTATCTCGGGGAGGGAATCACGTATTGATTCATAGATTTGCATGCTCTTATCCCGTTGAAACTGGAGCTCCTTGAGGTCCATCTCCAAAGAGCCCGGTTCAGCATTGCGATAGTCACATGAAATGGTCACCCGCCGCCAAAAGGTGGGCGTCTGTGCATAAGTGACGAAGAACTTTTCACGATCCGACTTATCCCGGAAATGCATGCTTAGGTTGAGGATCCATCGGTGATCAAGTTCGTCCCTTAGCTCAACCTTGTCATCGGCTATAGGCATTTGGGGATAGTGAGAGTCATCAGAAGAAGTTCTCGAAGGAGGGCGTGGAGGTCGGTAGTCGTCTTGGGACCAGATGTCCTCTGTCGCGTCTGGATGCGTCGAATCCAACGACGGTGGTGGAATGGGTTGGATATGGGCGTCACCAGTTCCGGCAGCCGCCCTGGAAGCTCCAGTGACGGCAGGTGCAGAGGTCCGAGCCGAATCCCAATTGGGTGGCGAAGAAGTCGCTCGACGTCTGGGTAAACTTATAGACGTATGCCTGGTGGAAGAAACGGCTCTCCTCTCGGCATGACAAGGCTCGATGGGGAGCAATCGATCTCGCCTTTCTGAATTCTGACGTCGGAATGTTGCTTGCCGGGGGAGACCGACAGCGAGTGGTCTGGTTGAGGGATCTTGTTTGGCGGAGTTCTGTCTGTCAGCCCAGGTCTGAGGCCACTGCTCGTAGTCGGAACACTCAATCGGGCTGTGAGTGGCGTCATCTTTGGCAAAGAAATGCTGGATTTTCTGCCACATGCCGAATCTAAGCGAGTGTTTGGAATGATGGTGATGCGGCTCGGAATCAAACTGTCTCAGTGGATTGTGTTCGGCATGGCTAGGACGAATGCCCATTATGGCGGAGGTTGCCTTCAGTTTTGACGCTGATACGAGTGAGGGGCACAATCCTCCTCCTCCTCCTCCTCCTCCACCTCCTCCACAGTCGAATCAGCAGCCTCCGCTGAGTCGGGAGGCACAGCAGCGAAGAGAGCTAGACCAACGACAATCGGACATTGAAGTTGTGCAGGTGTATGTGTTCGTTGCGTATGTGTGATATGCGACGTGGTACAAAAGAGATGGATGAGGATTTGGTGGCAGTGGCAATTCGGAAGGCCGGTGAACGTTATTGGCGACGGGCGGTCGACCAGGGTGGCAGTGAAGGGTGGGAGAGTTCGGAGACTCGGGAGGTGGAAGAACTTTTGAACTTTGCGAGGCGGTGAAGGATGCCTAGTAACTAGAGCACCAATGTTTTGGAAAATATCGCACCCGGTGAGCCCGCCCCGCGCTACAAAGACGTTCAATGTTTCAACAAGGACGAAAATGGGATATTCTTCCTGTGCAATGTGGACTTGGCGGGTGATTTGAAGGACGATTGCAGGACGAGTGTTGGGTTATTGGCCTGTAGCAACGCAGCTGAGTGGTCTCAAGACGGGTGCGAGTATATCGAATGGATCCCAATACTGGCCACGGAGGCCGTCGTCCGACCCACGCTTTTCGTCTGGGATCTGGGTACCGGAGCACAGGAAGTACGAGGTAGGTGGAATGGTAACTGAGATGAGGCAAGGATGCTGAGAGCGGGTTTGATGGCTTTATGGCGGGTTTCGAAATGTGGTTCAACGTGGCCCAAGGTTCAGAGACGTTCACCGCTTAAGCAAGGCCACAAGGCGTAGGCTACGGCAGCCGAAACTGGGTGCAGATGTATCAAGCAGGAGGCAGGAGGCAAGTGGAGGTAGGGAGGTATGGAGATATGGAGGAGGCAGGGAGCTAGAAGGCAGAAGAGAGAAGAGAGAAAAGAAAAGAAATTATCCCACGAAGGCTCGTTGTAAGCTTTCTATCGTTCTTTCTTTTTTTTTCTTCTCGCTTTCTCTTACTCTCTTCTTTTCTTCTCGTGCGCAGGCGATAAATGGGTTGGACTTGGGTGTGGACTCGACTCCGCTGTTAATGCTCAGAAGCCGGTATCTGGGTTGCGAGGCATCACTTCACTAGCCAACAGCGAAGATTTTGGGTACAGCCTGTACTGGGTATGCCACAAGCCTCCCAAGTCGGACATTGTGGTCAGGCTCGCTCCGGGCTTGGGGGCGCATGGCCGGGTTGGTAGGCGGGGGGGCTGGGTGGGCTGGGGGGCCACTGCTTGGTGACTGTTTCTGCCAACGCAAGACTTGAGATGAGAGCGAAGCAGCCAATAGAGCTGCTAGGCGCAAAGGGCAAGGGCTATAGGCGACGGCTGCTTCCCTGGATGCCCGCTGCCCCGCGGCCCCGAAGGCCTAACTGTTAACTAAAATCATCCTCCCTGGTGGTGCTGGGCGCTACCGTCTGCAGACTGTATCTTTGCTGCTTCCGCAAACTCGGACGGGAGGTTTTGAGGCTCATTTGGGCTGCGATTCCACCAGTCCAACAGGCCACCAGGCCTATCGCTGGCTAGAGTTGCTTGGACGGCACCCGTTCGCGGAAGCCTTCGATCATGGTTCCTCCCTTAGGCGAGCTGTTAGGCGCTGCTATGCACTTCAAGGCAGACATCGAGCCAGCCAGCGGTTTGGATGTTTCTAACCCCGGAATATCTTTATTCCATTCCGGTTCCAGACTTTCAGCCCTAGGAATTCCGGTCAGCTACCTTCACTGCTCAATCAGTTCCTACGATCCCTCTCTCTTTTTTTCTTTCCTCGTGTCTCTTATTCCCACACAGTACTCTGGGCTCTCTTCCTAGCTTTCATCCATCTTGACGCTTTCAGCTCTCCCATTTTCTCTGATACATGGCTTATTTAGGTTTTGAAATCAGCCCCCAGTCGGCAGGCAGGAAGAGGGCGGCAAACGACACTTGCAGTTCATCATAAGCTAGGACAGCGCAGAGAGTGCCTACTGTGAACAACGGAGCGCCCACACTAGTTGGCGTCAAAGCCCAAACCTTCATCTTTTGGAAGGCTTCCATTCCTCGAATCCTGCCACTACTGCACATTCTGCAGAAGGCATCCAGTGCTTTGCATTCGGCCACTCAGGTATTTTCTTCCGCTCTTCTTTTCTCCAATTTGTCGCCTCATCGTTGGGCTGCAATTTTTTAGATGGTTTCAATTTCAATTGGTGCCTTTGCTCCTATATCGCTCTTTCGGTGGACATTTTGTCTCACAACTCCCTCTCACCATCGTTGTAAAGCACTTCCATCGGGGATGACATCGGGGCCATGATCTCATCATCGATGCGAAGGCCTTGTTGTTTTTTGACTTCATCCATCTGGGACCCATCATTGACGTGGCCAACGTGGTCAAAGCGATCCCTGCTCAGAACGTCTCGACATCGACTGACCTCCCACATGACCTTTTCATCATCCGTGGGATTGTCACCCCTCAAACTCCCAAGCCGACGTCGTTGTTATTTATCCTAAGCTGAGGTCACCGGACTTGGAAGCATTTTGCTTTGGTAAAGTCCGAACCCTCTCAGCCTTGATACACACCGCCCATTACTTCACTTGCCATTATCCTTTAACGTGGGCTGACCGCGATCCTGATGCCTCCGGCTCAACCCGTATCCAGGCGCTTGGTCCCAAGATCACCATTTTTCGTGTGGCTCGATGCGGATGTCAGGAACGCGGGATAGGTGTTGCAGAGAGTCGGATCAAACATGCGCATGAAATGTCCAAGCGGTAGGATGATACCCAACCTGCATCTCAAAAGCACGGACGTATACTTTCATCTCTTTCACCTGATATATTAAATAGGGAACTCCATTGACCCAGGTCGGTCTGGGGAGTCACCGTTAGTCCTCATCAATCAATTTGGCTTCGGAAACTAGTCCAGGCACTTTTGGACCACATAAATCAACCACAGTTGAGGACAATCACCCCCCCGGAAATGCCCTGGAGCGTCGAACCCATGTATCAGAACCTGTCCGGGCAAAAGGACCATCAAGTCCCATTAAGATGGCTCAAGTCTTTAAGACCCCACTGACAGAGTGTCCCTCAGCAAGCCGGTCGACAACAGATCCCTGTGATCAGGGCGGTCTGCGCGGCATTGCAGGAGCGTCACGAACAGTTGTTCAAACGGCTGCATTAAATCTTCCTTCCACTGGGATTCGCCGCTCCATCAGCCTCCGCCGCTTGTTTTGTGAACTTGAACCGTTTGGTCACAGACCAGTTGATCCGGTGAGTCAGCCAGATCGCACATCTCTGCTCTCATTGTATTCAATCGAATAGCTCTAGATTGCAACGGCATCTTCGCCTCGGGGTTTGAGGGGTCTTTGAACGTAGGGGCTCCGGCGGAATCGAAAGCCGCCTGTTGCTTTTATACACGACAACCCTGCAGGAGGCTTCTGTGCCTTAAGTGTATCACAATACCTCTGCTCTTGGGCATCTTGGAGGTACGATCATCAAGCCGCGCTCTCGAGGAAGCTTATCCAGGGGCCGTCGATCAGTATGTCGATCTGCTCTAACAGGAGTAGTTGCAGAAGATAAGTCTGTTGTGGGTGAATGAGCAAGTTGGTCAGTTGATCCAGTTGGGAAACATTTGCACGATTGACAGTCGGACTTGCCCCTCTCCAGCCAAAATATGTCCGCTTTCAGAGACGACGAAATGGGTGTCAATTTCAAGTCGCCAAACCATATACTTGAATCCAATGGACTCCTGTTTTCCGATCAATGTCCTGGTACCCTCTATCTACGTTGACATCCTGTTCGTCTTGTGCCGCATCTTTTCCGGGATCTGTTCTCACCTAATGAGAGATCTCTGTTGAATCGTGTTCTTCTATTATCTTATGACAAAACATGTCGTCAAAAGGTCTAGGGGACTTGGCCTAGTGATCACGACTGTTATTTACAAGTCCACCTCCTCTATCTGTTCAAGACGCTCACTGGAAGTCGTTAGTTTCCTTTATGCTGTGGCTCTACTTGAGAGAACCCTTTGCATTTCCTGCTCCCCAATCCGTATCCTTTTCATCCCCAACTTTCCCGTTTCACTTCCTTCAAGGCACAAATATTGAAATAAGTTGAGAGATCAAGGGCTCTGAGAGAGACCGGAGCGACGTGTCTATCACAAAACTTCATTCTGGCGACAGAGAAAGACTCCGCTGGTAGTTTTCACGTCCATGACTTAGATGAGTGAATACATGTCGACATGGTAGAGTCGCCACCGGCGCTTGCCGCGCACCATCTACCTCCGACAACATCATCCACGAAGCAGCAGAGTCCCGGACTAGTATTTCATACGCCTACTCTCAATAGCATTATTCCTTCTGGCCGAAGAAGTGTATCTTCCTTGGAGAGCATAATATACATGATGATCCCATGTTGCCCTTTCCTGGCCTCCTCCAGTTCTCGTCTTTGGTCCATAACCCATCCCATATCCTGCCACCTCAGAGGAGTCACGGTCGAAATCTCAGCCTAAAACCAACATCTCCGCCCGGCCCATCTATCCTTCTCATCGCCCTCCCCTGACTCCCCATCCAATATCCCGATCCATCCCCCTCGGAACCCTCTGTCCTGACCTGTCTTCCGTTCTGCTGCACAACGTAGATAAATCGCGCTATTGTGTCGGCTTCGCTCAACTGTTGCGCGTTGAAATGTTTGCGCACAGCGTTTGCGAGATTCGAGGCTGGTTCGCGGGGACCGAGGTTCATGGTGGTGGTGGTAGAGGATGGAGAAGAGGGTGTGTGATGGCCTTGGGCTTGGTTGGAAGGGGGAGGTTCGGGAGGTTCGACGGTTTGAGCTATCGAGGGAGATATGCTGGAGGCTTTGTCTGTATTTGATGTCTCTTTTGATTTATCCTTCTCTTTATCTCTGTCTTTGGGTTTATTGTTCTTGCCAGTTCCATTTGTCTGCTGCGATTGGCGGTGTTTGCGTCGTAGAAGATGTTGCTCACGTTGTTTCCGTCTGTAGTAAACTGCAGAGGGAGCCCGTAATGCGAGTTCGCAAGCTTTGTAAGTGACCTCGGCATGAGGGCAATTAAATGCTGCAGGGACGGGGAGACGATGTGCGATGCGGTACGAGCGGAGAATAGGGACTGACATGGTGGCCCATTCGGTCTTTTGGAGGGTGATAGCATTGTCAGTCATATTCTTGTTGTTTCCTTGAGATAATCCTGTGCCAGAAGATGTAGTACGACATACTCGAGGAAGACTTGGGTCTTTATCCCCTTCCGTGACTGCGGGCGTTGCAGAGGGAGGAGCAGCCCCATTTCCATACACAGGGGTTTTATTCCCTGCGGTGGGAACATTGAGCCCCGATGCAAAGCGCTTTCCCTTTGAGACTCCGGAGCCGCTGGCTAGCCCTAGTGTAGACTTCTCCTTCTGATTCGTGATGGTGCTTGAGGTCTCAGATCTCGAGTCATCGACATTTCGTCCTCGAGCAGGTGGCATCGTGTTTGGCAGCAAAAGTTTTGACCCACCATATGGAGGCAGGGCGGCTGAGAGAGACTGTGTAAGGTCCCCTCAATGAAAGAATATAACAGGATTACCCCCTCATTGGACTAATATTTGACAGGGAAATTACATCGATCATGTCCTCGTGGACCATTGCTTGTAACTTCGGGCATGAATCAAGCTTCAGGGACACGCGCAGGCGAAAATAGAAGGTGGAATGATACGTCATAATCTCCCCTGCCATTTGCCCAAAATGGAGAGCGGCAACGGCATCACCCGCTGCCGCGATGCCTTCTTGGCAGCGGCCAGCGGCAGCGGCACCAGCACCAGCAGCGGACGGCGGAGCGAGAATTTCTAACCTCACGCGCAAGGCCTGTTCCTGCATATTGGAACTTTGAATGCAGCCGAGGCAAATATTACGCTTGCTATGAACCTTGACGTGCTTTTTGTTCCACTCTGTGTTTTTCATGCTAAGGGCACCCACTGCCCTAGTAGATCTATTGAAAGTCCTGTCAAATTTGCGAAGTTGATGTGGAAGCGGAAATGTAGGTATCTGTATCTAGACAACCGCGGAATAATGAAACACACAGAGCCCACACATTGGTCGTCATCGCGGATGAGGGCTGCCGTCTTAATTTCCAATGAGTAGAGCGTCTAACTCGGCTGGGGTCGGATTCGATCTTGCTAAACTACGGGCATCGTCTTTTCGCATTCCTTCTTTTTCGCATAGCAGCCTCCCAAAGTGGTTTTCAAGTTGCACTCGCGTTACGTGTGAGTGCCAGCCACCAGGGATCCGTTCCCTGCAGTCGGTTTCAGGGATAGGAGGCCAGGGATGGAAAATTCTGCTCGCTCTTGTTCGCGCAGCCATCGAACGACTTCTACTGCGACAGTCATAATGAGGTTCAATGCCTCTTCTCATTGCAGTGCCCTAGGCTCCCAGTAGATATTCTGGAAATCCGTGCTACTCAACCAAGGCCGAGAGAATGCCTTCAGTTGAAACAGAGGAAAGAACTGGGTACAGGCAGGGACATCAAATGTTGAGCACTCCGCTCTCCATAGGGTGAACTGAAATCTTCGTCTAGAGTCTCCCTATTGTGAGATCAATCTCGGTCAAAATTTTTCTTATCGGCAGAATATGTTGAACGTTGTTTACGGCGCCGCCGATGGCTTGCCTTGTTCATCAGGTGAGGCTCTGATGGACATGTAGATGCGGGTCGCGATATACTGAGAACTTAACGCCTGACGTCAATTGGAATCTGCGAAGCACATGGCAGTGGTGGCAGTTTCGGATTTATGCAGCTGACGACCGGGTCAGATTGGCGATGCGCCGAAGAAATGCCGGCCCATGTGAAAAGAATTTTTTTTCAAACCTAAAAATTTCGCCTTCAGATGTTCCTCGAGTCCGAGATTTGCACATGATTTCTCCCCTCCATGACACGCGAAGAGTTCCCGCATGCTCCTGGATCCTGGACTAGCCGCCAAGAGCTGCATCCGTCAACCCGTTGAGCTAGGAAATATGGAACTGTCCCCGATAAGGAAATCCCGATTATCAAGACAGTGACACCGGTATCAGCTACCCGAGGGAATTTTTTTTTCCTGGTTCCTTTTCGCCCTTGAATTAGACCGAATCTTGATCATCTTTTTCTAATGCTTCAAGAAAGCCTCGAGGCTACAAGGGTAGCCAATTGGGGCAGTCTGTCAGAGATGGAAGTTGATGGACCTTGAGCGAGTCCCTCCAGCGATGACGGTGATGCTGTTGTCGGAAAAGACCAGTTGAACCCGGTATGCTCCTCACAGAGCTGACAGTGCGATATAGGAGCCCTAACTGGGGCTGCCTCTACGTCGTTGATTCAATTGAAACAAAGCCAGGCCGGAGTTCACAGCCTGACATGTGATACCCTGGTCAAGCAAGTCCGTGGGTGCACCAAGGCGGGAAGACTCGAAATAGGCTCTGACAAAGAACCGTTGAGTCAGGAGCTCACCTAATGGCAATCAAGTGGTATGAAAAATTTGTGCCATGTACTGTGCAAGTCCCGGCAAACGCCCGATTTGTGGTACACTCCGAAGTGAAGTTTGCTGGTGATTGTAAGATCGGTCCGCCTTGTACTCGTAACAAGTATATTGTTCGTGCCATTGTCACCAATCTGGAAGAATCAATCTCATCAAACGTAGGGTGTGGGTATAAGGTGGCCGACTCATAGATGCACGCTACCATCACCTGAGAAGGTCGGAATGTCGGCCTTTCTGTCCCTACTGGTAGGTTGAATTTGAACGTATGTGCACTCATTGTGCAAAGTGACAAATTGAGAGATGTCTTAGATCTTCGGTAAGGTGAGCCATCACAGAATGGACAACACCAAGAACGGATGGAGAGCCAGATATTATGCCGATTTTATAGCTCGGTTTCGCACATTCTTGGCACGCAGCGTCGTTAGCCCAAGGAGAATATCATGGTTTGGGCAGACGCCCAGGCTCGTCGACCAGGGCCTATGTCCATAGACGGGCAGGCTGTCAGAGCTCTGTGCAATGAATGCCGGTGGACAGAACCAGGCTGAAATCAACCTGGGTGAGCATGCAAGAATATTAGTCGTGCTCTTCTCCGAACTGTCGCAATCGGTGGGGTACGCACAGCACAGTCAGATCACCCTTTGTACTCCGGGCGGAGTACTACCTTGAAATTTGCCCTTGAAGCTCCTTCAGATAGACCAACATGTTGCTTCCTTTACTCACTGCAAGACCTATAATGCTTCTTTCACTGAATGGATATCTCTCCATCTGCCCATCTGCTAGATAAGCAGTTGAGCGCACCAACCACAACCGTGAAGATGACGAAGGTGCAGGACGCAGTATCGGATGCCTGGAAACCGCTGTGCTGTACAGGATACTGTCGTCATGAGAGGAGGACCCCACACGTTTACGGTAATGGCATTGCATTTGAGGATCGCCAACAAAGCTCAAGATTCCATCGGCATTTGTACGAGCGATCTCGATAAGCGTGGCTCGGATCCATGAAGAGCTAGGAGGTTCGGATCCGTCGTCGATTTGGACATCTTGTGGCAGCGTCGTGTGCCACTCGCCGCAGACTATTTCGATAGACCATAATGTCTTTTGCGGTTGTCGTAACAAGACTGAAAATAATAATATTATTATTCTGACTTGGGCAACTTTGGTTACCTTCTTGCTTCGCCTTGGAAGCTCAAAGAGATTTGTGGAGAAGTGGGAATATACCGTGTCATCACGACCCACATGCCTTTTGGTGGTGCATCCCTTTCCCTTTATTGGTGAATACATCTCGTCGAATCAGAGACGCACGGGGTATCAATTCAAGGTCGATATGTACCTGGCGCAAGGAGGGCCCCGGGAGCGCGTGGCATGGAGTATGACATCCATAGTACCAAGTACCAAACCTCTGCACCAGATTTTGTTCTTCGGATGCAATGTTGTTGGCTATGTTTTGCCGTCAGGATCAAAGAGCCGGTGTTATCGTGCCGATTCCGGACTCTTACAAGGAACCAGTCGATCCCTGAGGATTGAGCCTGTTGCCTGATGGGCGGGTCATCTTGATGGCAAGGACTGTTTAATCCACTAGTACCACTCCACCAACAGCTCCGGCCCTATCGACAAAATATGGAGGCATGATCGAAAGCCGCCGTAGCTGATGATTTTTCGTGGCCCTCGTAGTTTGAATTTCGCCAATCAATTCCATCGTCGTTTCTCTCTCGCGTTCAACTCTGCTTGGACTCGCAGTCGGCTATCCGACTTCAAGGCAAAAGTCTGGCCAGCTTCTGAGAGGGAAGGAAAAGTGTCGTGCTAGAATGGCATTGCAGACTTGGTTGAGTTGGTTGCATGTGCTATCGTGCCAGGGGGACCATCGGCAGGTACTCCGTTTCTGGGCGGCACGGGGTGATGAGCCCGAGATTCAGCCACACACGAACTGAATTTCCCCACTGAATTTCGCAAGGGGCCATCACTCCTTCAAATCCGCCCCCTTCCCCCCAGAGGTAAAATCATTGACCCCCTTGCAGGTGATGGCCGCCAGACGTTCCCGAAAGTGCCATGTCCGAGACAGTGGAAAGAGTCCACAAGGTGCCCTTCGTAAACCCACTCTGCTAGGCCGGCGAAGCCTAGTGGTCAGTGAACAGGTAACCGGATTTGCTTGTGCCTGAGGCTGAGATGTCCAGGATGTCGTAGGTGACGCCTCAAGGGCGATAGCCAAGGGCGGTTTTGGCGGGCGGCATTGTCCTTTCTGGTTAAGCCACACCTGCCCCGGAAAGATATCTGATAGGAAGGCTTCCGCTACTCGGTAACCCCCCTTCTGGGGCGTTCTGACGCGTTCTATGGGCTCACCCGAATAGGGAGCCCCGGAAGTAGCCCTACGAGTACCTACGAGGTATGTAGCAAGTACTGGGTAGACGGTAACCTTTGCGCAGCCTAGCCCCGATGGTACCCCCCGAATATTGGTCGGATTGCGCCATTGATAGACGGGGTTAGGACATTCGTATCCGTAAGCAGTTGAATTGTATCCTTTCTGGCCTCGGTGATTACTGTGCTCGTCATTGAAAGCTTGTTAAGGTCTCCGTGGTGGCGATTCAGAGCTGAATACCTTGGGAGATGGCAATGCCACCGTGCTCCTCATAAAAAGAGAACGGTAGGATTGAATGGATGGGGATTTCAAAAATGTGCTCAAATCAGCACAGAAAGTTCGTAGTGCCCCAGCTTGGCTCGATATTCACACACCGCGACTTCTTCTGTTTCTGCATCATAGGCTCGCACGCAATATTCCGGACGAGAGTAACAAGTACATAGCACCTCGTCTAAAAGTCTCTACTTAGTACTCGGTGCACTCACTGCCACTCCCGATGGTCGGTTTTGTCGCCAGGAATCTATTTGAATAACTCCCGATTTTTTATCGTGGGTGGATGTGTCCTAAATTCTTTCCGTCAGACTGACCCATTTTCCGTCTGCCTCGGATGTTCCCTTGTCACTCTACGCCAATC